GGTGGGGGTGGGGTGGGGGGTAGAGGACGCGTGGGCCCTCGGTTGGGACTCCCGCCCTGGAAGCCGGCGCCTTCCGAGACAGGTGCTCCAGGTCGCGGGGCCCCGCCCACGTCCCTTTCCGAGTGTTCGGACTCCCTTAGGGTCATAGTACGAAGAAACCGAAAGCGTGGCCAGCCCTTCCGCGCCACGCCGGCCCTTTTGAGTAGTTGTGTCAGACATGCCGCGTGTGCCCAGAACTCCCCACGTTTGGCTCTCGGTTTTCTTACGAGCCAGCAGCGGGTGGCCGGGGAAATAGCATGCAGCTGGGACGAGAGGGGACTAGGCCTGGGATGAACAGACACATTTAGTTTCCTCATCAGACACTTGCGTGTTAAGGAGGACACCTGTGTAGTGCATTTTCTCGGAAGTGGCATCGTGTGACTCTGTAACCCGTGGCTCTGTAACCTCAGTGCCAGCCCTGGGGTCTGGTTGCTTGCACCTCTGTGTCTCTTTGGTCAGCTGGGAAAAGAGCTGCTTTGCCGGGGCATGTTTAATGTGTATTTTTCTCTCTGTTCTGGGGCTGGCTTTTTGCAGCCCTAAAGCTGGAATTGGAGGAGAAGCTGTTTGGGCAGCATCTGGCCACAGAGGTGATTGTCAAGGCACTGACTGGCTTCAGGAACAACAAAAATTCCAAGAAACCACTGACTCTTTCCTTACACGGCTGGGCTGGCACGGGCAAGAATTTTGTGAGCCAAATCGTGGCTGAAAATCTTCACTCAAAAGGCCTGAAGAGTAACTTCGTCCACCTGTTTGTATCGACTCTGCACTTCCCTCACGAGCAGCACGTAAAACTGTACCAGGCAAGGGAACCCCGTTATCCAGTCCAGCAGCCACTCAGACTGATCTGGGCGACCTGCTTGCTAACTCTGGCCTCTGCTGCTTTTCTTTGTGCTGAAGTAGCCCCAGGCCCTGCTGAGTTAAGGCACACTTACCCCCAAACCTTTTGCCATTTGCAGAGTTCTCCAACTTTTTCCTCACTTGATTCCAAAATAATACAGTGGTGTAGGTGACGTTATTTCTTTTAAAAGAGCCGAGAGAGGCGAGGTGGCTGGCTCTTGCTGGTCTTAGTGACCTGATGGCAAATCAGAAACTTTTAACCCAAAACTCCTGACTTCCAGGTCACAGGGCAGCCACTTTCTGCCATGGATGATGCATTCAGCGTTCCCATCACAGCCCTCGGTTAAGTGGAGCAGGCTCACACGGTCTGCTTGGTCTGCTTGGACACCAGCTTCATTTAAGGCTCCCACTGTGATGCAGCGCCAGCTTCGCCTATGCGTCTTAGTGACATAGAGGAGTTTTTCCTCCTCGATCGCTCTGATCCCCTTTGCTCCTCCCATCCTTCAAATCTTCGGCTTTGCTTTTTTTCTTCAAACGAAAGCCTCAGACAACTGAACCTTACGACCATGTCTCCTTTTGAGATATTCTTTTCACGTTTCATTTATTTTAAGTTGTCCAGTAGGGCTCTCATTTAAGTGAATGTCGTCCTCTAGAGGTTAATAGTCCTACTGGTAGGTGGAGACTTGAAATAAGAAATAGAAACTGAACCGAAGAAGGAAATGAAAGTGGATATTTGCCACGCAAACGAAAGGAAGATTGCCAAAAAGAATAATTTTCTTGGTTTTCAAATTTTTTCATAAATCTCTAGGAATATAGTAATCTAGCCTCTGGAGCCTTTCACATTTTGAAGTTAGGGCTTGTTGCTTGGATGTCTTTTTGTTTGTTTTAAGAAAGCATAGGAACAAATGCTTTTTGTGAAATGTCATCCAGGTCAGCTCCTCTGTGCGTGGCACCGGTAAAAGACGGTCTTGGGCACCGTGCAAGTCTTAACTGGTTCATAATTCCTCAGTATGCCTGGTCAAATTGAGATTTCAGTCCACAGTGCAATGAAAATTATGGGCGGGTAACAGTCGTTTGAGATCATTATTCATCTACCTTGTACCTCTTATTCCTTTCAAACGTCCCATTTAACATGTCATTTCAGTTAGAAACAAACTTTGCATTTCAGCACCTATCTCTCTGCTAGTTTCTGCTTTTTACAGAGCAAGTTTTGGACAGGCTGTTAGCCAGTGAATGGGGTTAGGGTATGGTTTCTGAGAGTTCTCTGTTAAACTCTGAGAGCTCTGCTTTCTAGTTTTTTAGAGCCCAAGGAACGGGGTGGTGCTTCTGCTCCCCGTGGCACACCCTTTGAGCCTGTGCATCCTATTTCTTCTCTTATGGTTGGTCTAGGACCAGTTACGGAGGTGGATTCGGGGTAACGTGAGTGCCTGTGCGAGTTCCATGTTCATATTTGATGAGATGGATAAATTGCACCCTGGCGTCATTGACGCAATCAAGCCATTTCTGGACTACTATGAGCAGATCGATGGTGTGTCTTACCGGAAGGCCATCTTCATCTTCCTCAGGTTAATGGGACGTGGGGGTACACTTTCTCGGGGACACACTTGCCCTTCATTCTCCCAAAGCAAGAATGAGGTCCTGGTGACCACCAGCATTCTCTTTCCCAGGGACAAAAGTGCCAGCCTAGCATGAGTGACTTCTTGATTTCTTTGACTTTTGGGTTGTTAGTTATCAGCATGACAGAGAGTGGGCAGGAGAAAATGAATTAAAGATAGAATTGCCGTTAACAGGCAGTTTCATTACCTGCACATGTCGTTTCCGAGGGTTATCAAAAGTCACAGCATTACGTAGCACGTTCTGAAAAAGCAGATTTTAAACTCCTTGAGGGAAGACACTATTTTTTCTTTGTCTAGTAGCACCTGATAAACATTCCTTGGTTAAGAATAAACGTCAGAGCAGGTACGTTTCCTGGTTAGACACAGAGGTCTTAATATGTGGTTTTAACGTTTGTGTCTTGGACAAACTCAGCAACGCCGGTGGGGACCTCATCACTAAGACGGCCCTGGAGTTTTGGCGGGCGGGAAGAAAGAGGGAAGACATTCAGCTGAAGGACCTAGAACACATCCTGTCTGTCGGAGTCTTCAATAATAAACACAGTGAGTCCTCAAGGGTGACGAACCCCTTAGCCCTGCCAGTAGAGTCACCTTCTTTCTTTAAGCCTTTCACAAAGCCACAGACCCCACATGCCTTTGCTGAAATAGGGACATTTTCTTAGGGCATTTCTTAAGGGTTCCGTGGAAAGTAACCTTACAGTGTGATTGGGTCATAAGTTCCTAACTGGGTGGGTCATGGTGGGTGGCCACGCTCCAGGCATGTAACTTCTTTAACGAAAGGCATACCTTTGCCTTACAAAAGTAACACCCCGTAAAGGGGGTATAAGCCTCACGGGAGCACAGATTGGTGCTGACCGTCCTGTAATCCAGTCCCCGCCTCGCTTTCTCCCGCCTCCATGTCGTCTTCCTTATGTTCCCTTCTTAATTCCAGACGCATAAGAGAAACTGCAGACTTTAATCCTAGGGAGCATTTTTCTCAGTCTGTTGGGATCTTGCTTCCAGGCTCAAATAAATTTTTATAAAAATTCTCTGTAGGTTTGGACGTTTCTTACGTCGACATAGTCTAGAAGTTAGTTAGCAGCGGCAGGCAGCCTATCCTCACAGCAGACTTGTTGAACCCTTGACAAAAAGGGGATCTCAGAGGTTAAAGACATGAAGAGCGTACTTTGGGTCGGGATCAAAACGGGCCCGTAAGAGCACTGAGCTTGGCCAGGTGACCGGTGACAGCGATGGGTGGAAAACTCAGCTGTGTCTTGTTTTGCAGGTGGCCTGTGGCACAGCGGACTGATAGACAAAAACCTGATTGATTACTTTATTCCCTTCCTGCCCCTGGAGTACACACACGTGAAGATGTGTGTGCGGGCAGAGATGAAGGCCCGCGGTTCTGCCGTAGATGAAGACATTGTCACCAGAGTGGCAGAGGAAATGACGTTTTTCCCCAAAGACGAGAAAATCTACTCAGACAAGGGCTGCAAGACGGTGCAGTCAAGGCTAGATTTTCACTGACCTCTCATCCAGGCAGGGTAAGAAGCAGCCAGGAGCTCAGCGAGCCAGCGCCTTGCCTTCCGGAAGCACTCCGAAGACCTCATCGAGGTTTGCACATTTGCACCTATGGACTTTTGGGATCTGGAAGTTTCTAAGAGTTGATATTTTAAAAAGCCACTAACCTGTCAAGTACACTTATCATTTTGCAACATAACGTTAAATCCAGTCGTTAATTGCAGTTGAAGAGGAACTTTGAAAATCCGTGCCCACCCTCACTGACCTTGACGGAAGTGCCTTGAAAACAGTTGTGTGAGGCCAGGACTGTTTCCGAACCCACGGCACCCGCCCCACAAGCTGCCGTCGTCACCGTCACCGAAGTTCCGGAGCTGGCTGCGGTCTGGGAGCTTTGGCGCCAACTGCCGACGACACCCTTCTCCGGTTCTTTGTCTTTACACAGAGACCGTTCCCCGACTTGAAGAGTCTTCAGTTAAAATCGGCAGCACCCTCAGGCGCGGTGTCCTGTGGGAGGACGTGGGCCTGCACGCTGAGCAGGGGCTACGTGTGGGGTGGGGGCGCCATCCTCGGCCTCCGCACTGACCAAGACAGACAGGGCCTCCTGGTGTGGCCACTGCCCTGGCTGCTCGCGGGGTCCCTTCACTGTGCTCTCGCCCGTAGAACATGTTCACCTCCGCGGACGACACGTGCCCAGACTGGGCGGTCAGTGCGCAGGTTCTGCATTGCCAGAGTGACAGTATCCTATACGGGGAATGCTAGGAGTTTTGAGAACATGTATATTTTTTATAATGTTTTTACTTCTGAATCTTAGGGAAACATAGGCCGTTGCTTGTGTTAAAACATGGGAAGGACATAAAATAGAATAATTTAATTGCCTATTTTATCAGATACTCTTAAAATAAATGGTATAAATTTTTATTCTTAAATACATGGTAATATATGGTCAGACAGGGTCAGTCTAAAGTTGTGGCTGGTCCTAGGTGTCATCTGATAATGACACCTTCTATGGCAGCCAGGCTGGACTGCCCTGGTCACTGCGACTCTACGGCAGTGTGACTCGTCTGTCCCGTAGTTGCGGTGCATCTGTGGACACAATGAGAGCAACACGCAATCTTTTTATATAGATGGGGCTGAGTATTTTTATGACACGGGGAGGCCTTCCAGAGGATCACACTTAGTCTTTTAAAAATGCCACGCTGAGACTTAAAATTTTTAGTACAAATCCTCAAATTGGAGCTAAGTTCATTTCTTTTATAACCTTTCGGGTGTTTGGTCAGGAGGAGACAAAATTTTGTCTGTTTACAGTAATGCAACGTACTCAACTCGTGTCGGCCACCTTTGGACTGCTGCTACTGATTTGTAACTTGCGAAACCATGGCCGACCAGAGCCCGGCCTCCCCCACCGCACATAAGACGTAAACAGAAGCTTGAATTGACCTGGTGAATATAAAATAATAAAGCCTAAATGTTATCATGTGAGGTCATTTGCAGTTTTTTTTCCGAGTTTATATATTTGGTAACTGACAAGTTTGAGCTTGGAATAAAGACTCTTCAATGACTCAGGTGTCATTGGCCTTACTGTGCCCCGAACATGCTGCTGGGTGACAGTCTCTCCATTATACAATCAATATTTACCATACAGGCTGTTATTCCCAAACAAATACACAATTAAATTGGATTACATGATGGGCTATACTCCCATCCTGTTTTCATGGATGAAAATAACATCGGAAAGAGCTGGACTTCTAACAAATATACTCTCCTAACGTTCACGTAACTGAAGCATGGGGTAAATGTGACTCTGCTGGCATTCTGAACCTGAGCTGAGGCCAAGCTCATCTGTCCACCTGGGGAATGCAGTCAAAATCCTACTTGTCAACCAGATCTCAGCGTGAGCACACTTCACCTGGTTTATCTCCATTAGTGAATTGTTGACACCAGGTCTCCCAGGACCGATGGGCTAGCTGACTTTCTGCAAAGTTCAAACCCTCTTTGCCACCATCCCACCCACTCCCCCCATTTCTCAGTTGAAGGTGCTCAGGTCCTAGGAGGTTGACTTTCTGGGTCTGGTCCCACTTGGTACTGCCTCATCTACAAAGGCTGAACTTCCCAAATTAAGTCAGGGGACCCCTGTGTTCCTTCATTGGGGTGCCAGGGGTGCCATCTTCGATTAGCCCTAATCTGTGACTCCTGGGCACAAGACAACAGGCCAGCTTCGGCTCGACATCACTTTCCAACACTTAAGCCGTCCTCAGGAGGCCTGGGCAGCCCTAAACCCCTGTACAGTCTGGGTCCTGGGTCAGCCCAGCAGCCAGATGAAAGCCGTCCCTGCGCGCCGGGCTTAGGCACTCACACCCGCAGGAGCCCCGCCTGTTTTTAGGCGCGCATGCGTGTGGCATAACACGTTAAGTCTGCAGTGCCCCATTCTCCTGCCGGGCATCTCAGCTGCGGTTAAGTCTCTGGACTTGAACTCCACAGCTGGGTGTCAGCAGCTGCATGAACCCCACCGCGGTGTGCAAGACCCGTGCAGCTGAGCGAGGAGCCACTTGTCCCAGGATCCTCAGAGTCGCTGCACTAGGCTTCATGTCATTCAGACCTGGACTACTCCTGCTAGGTCTTCATTCATAGCTTAAGGACATAGAGCCTACAGGGCAGGGTTTTTTCTCCTTCAAAAATGTATTCACAAATTACAGTCTTAAAGTGGTAGTTATTTGCATTTACAAATAAAAACACTGTTCTCAGCATCCTGGGGGTAGAGGGAGAGGTAGCTAAGCTTTCCTTGGAGGTGTTGGGAGTTCGAATTAAACATAACAAAAACTAGTAATAAATGAGTTAGGTCTTAAAACAATATGGCAGGACTTGCCAGGTAGCACGTGGCTCCTTCGGGAACAGAAGGCAGAGCAGGCTTCCTTGGCACAGCAGAACGACTAGCGAGAGACAAGGTGGAAATACTTTCAGGGAAACTGTTTCTAAAAAGTGTTCACAGTTACTGAGATTAAAACCTTGGAATGGACAATTAAGGCTTATTTGTAACGTGCCTGAGCCTGTCCTGTTAAGTACTTGTCCTTCCATCTAAACACTTCTTTGCCCCTTGCAAAGGTCCTCCTGTGACAGGTCTGGCCACTGCTCCGGCCTCGGTCCCCAGTAACGCCGTCCTACGAAGGAAGACACGCCGAGGACCCGGCCTGGGCTTTTTTACAGCAAAGATATCACGGTGTATGTTATCATGATGGGAACTTTAAAAAACACACAAAGCCAACAACTTAAGAGTCTGAAAAGGTTCTCATAATGTTAAAAACCATTTTAAATAAAGTTATCACATTTTCAGTAAAACTTAGTCATCCTTCCTTGAAACAGAAACACGTCAAATTAAAACATGATTTTTAAAAAATCCTGGGTCCTGGCGCGAGTGGGCTGGGAGCGGCTCCTTCCTTCTCTGAAGGCTCCGGGGGGCTGTTCCGAGGCCACCGTCTAAAAGGCGACGGCCTGCGGGCTCCACTGAATGAACACGACGCCCAGGAAAACTCCTGTCACGGTGAACGGGGAAAATTCATTTCGGTCCTCTTCCGGGGGCGGGGTGGGGGGTGCAAAAAAGAGCGGAGTTCCTTCTTCGCCAAGGCGAGGCGACGACTCTCGCGCCGTCGGTCCCGTCAGTCATCGTAGTAATAATCTAGCTTGGTGTACACAGTTTTGCAGCCTTTGTCGGAGAAAACTCTCTCCTCTTTGGGGAAAAATGTCATCTCCTCAGCCACTCTGGTTACGATGTCCTCATCAACTTCGTAGCCTCGGGACTGCATTTCAACTCTGATGCACATTTTTAGGTGTTTATATTCCAGGGGGAGGAAGGGAACGAAATAATCAATGAGATTTCGGTCAATTAAGCTGCTGTGCCAGAAGCCACCTGGGAAAAAGAAACAGGTGCTGTTCATCCATCGTCCGTCTGCCCGCCCGTCCATCCCTGTTGACTGGTGCCAGGCCCTGGAGGCGCAGCCCCGCACCTGCCCTCAGGGAGGTGCCACCTGACGAGGTAGGAGATTCAACCAGGAGCTGGCTGATGGACAGCTGTGGGCCCTGATGCTTCTAGGAAAGCAAAAGGCGGGTGATGCGACAGGGGACAGGCGGTTAAGCTGTGGGCTCTGGGGAGGCCTCTTGAGATGTGACGTAAAGACCTGAAATGAGACAGACGCTCGCCACCCCAGTGTCTGCAGCCAGGATCAAGCGGAGGGGCTGAGGGGGAAGGGGGCGGAGTGTTGGCGAAAGCGCACGCTGAGAAGAGCTCCCAGGGAGGGACCAGCCAGCCACAAAGTTTCCTTTATTTTGGAAACTTTGCAGTGACTCACTGCAGTTTCAGCAGCTGGATTAGCAACAGGGGAGAAACCTACCGCCACTGCCAGTGCATTGTGGGGGGCCAAAGACTGGGGCCTCCGGAGTAAGAACGTGTGAGGGCGACACTCTGCTTTGGCCACAGGATCCTGCCAGGTATTTTACCTGGGACGACGGTGGCTCTGCCGCCACCCAGTGCGTCCCCTCCCGGGTTGGGGGCCTCCTGACCCAGCGCATGCGCCCGCTGGATCACACCCAGCATTGCTGCAAACGCTTTCCTTCTGCTTTGCTGCTCTGCCCTGCTGCCTTCATCCGTCAACCAGTTCTGACGTGTGGGTTTTTTCATACCAAGCAATTCTCTGACACCAGCCGGTGTCCTACAAGTCAAATCAATTCTGACACCACCTATCTACCTGGAGTAGCGTCAGATTCCATAGGTTGAGGGTTGGTTCCCCCACTTCGGCCACCAAGTACAAGTCCAAGTTGTCACCTGCGCTTCTGACTGACTGGCTATAGAGGTTCCGATGGCCCCATCCTTGGGTTCAATGAATTTGCTTAGTGGCTCACAGAACTCAGAAACGTTTTCCTCACTAGATCACCAACTTATAATAGAAGGATATAACTCAGGAACAGCCGGATGGAAGAGATGCAGAGGGCGAGGCACGGGGATAGGATGCGGGGCTTCCACACCCTCTCCAGGTGGACCTGTCTCCAGCACCACCACCTGTTCGCCGAGGGAAGCCCTTGAACCCGCCCTTTTGGGTTCTTACAGAAGCTTCATTACAGAAGCAGGACTGTCTGAACTTCCAGTTCCTCTCCCTCCCTGGACATTGGGGTGGGGCTGTAGTTCCACCCCTCCTATCCGCTGGTTCCCCTGGAAACCAGCCCCTGCCCTTAGGTGCATTCCACAGACTCAGGTGTGGTTCACAGGAGCTTGTTAGGAATATCAAGATGCCTTTATGGCTCTTATCGCTTAGCAAATGCCAAGGGCCAAAACAGGACTAAGACCAAACATATACTTATTACAATGCAGAGGGTCACGACTGGGGTTTATGTTTTTCTTTGCCAACAGTGCTTTGCATACAACTGGTGCCCAATAAATATCTGTCTGCCAGGACAAGGTGGGGGCTCAGGCTGTGGGAAAGAACCAAACTGACCCTGAGCAGCACAGGCACGCCCTCCCGCCCCGCCCTGTGAAAGCACACTCGGGAAGCATGGGGTTCACGCCCGAAGAACCCTGCAGTGAGCTGGTGAACAGACAAGCTCAGACGGTGCCCTGCAGGCTGTGGATACCGAGGGGGAGCAGCCAAGCAAGGAAAGCTGACAGCCACGGGGTCAGGCAAGGCCCGGCTGAGGAGGCGACTCCGGGCAGAGCCTGAGCGGTAACAGCTGACCACACAAGACCCAGGAACAGGGTGCTGGCGGAGCGAGTGATCTCAGGCAGTCTCCTGGCTTGAAAAACCATCCAAGCGTCCCCCCTCCAACGGCCACCCCCTGCTCCAAGCTCCAGGCATCTCTCCCCTGAGCAGCTCCGGCTCTTCCCCCAGCCCCTGCAGCCTTCAGCCTGCTCTCCACCCAGCAGCCAGCACGGTCCTGTTCCAACTAAGTCTGCTCATGTCACTGTCTGCTCAAAACCCTCCAGGGGCTCCCTCCTCGACCTAGACTCAAACCCCAGGCCTCGCCACGGCTCCCAGGCCTTCCGTGATCTGCACGCCCATCCCGTCTGGCCTCTCATCCAACCCCGTTCGCCCCTGTTCACCCTGGGCCACCCACAGTCCCCTGCCCCGCACGCTCCCACCTCAGGGCTCTCACATACGCTGTTCCCTCCGATGTCCACACGGCTCGCTCCCTCAGTGTCACCCTCTCAGTGAGCCCTCCCTGGCCACTCTATGAAAACTGCAGCCCATCCTCATCCCAGCACCCCTAAACCCTCTTTCTTGATCTACTTTTTTTCCTATTGGGGCGAGGAGGGCAGATACATCTCCACCGCGATTAGATATAGATACATCCCACCGTCTGACACATTTCCTTACTTATCATCATTAAGATGTAAATTCCTTGAGAGTAAGGACTTCTGTGTTTTTGCTCACTGCTGTGTCCCCTGTTCCTGGACCAGACACCTAGCAGTTGCTTGGCAAGTATTTGTTAACTGAAAG